CAACTTTTGATATACATGATAAAATTTCATATTTCTTTAACAAACTTATTTTTATCTTTCTCTTAAAGAAATACATCGAACCGGTTTTTTATAATCACTTTCCAGATTATTCCACAATCTTATTCCTTGAACTGAAGTGCATTGGTCCTTCAAGTTTGTTCGAATTTTAGGTTTAATAAACATCTCAAGTCCTTTATTATTATAAGAACTTTATCTCTTAACAAAATATAACTGGATGTTTAAAGGGAAAACATTTTTATGAGCTTTATACATAATCTGCAAGATATAATTAACCAACCCATAAAATTTTAATAATTTTGATTTACAAAATAATATATTCCAAGGGTGACAGTAATGTTTTCTGGTGATCATTCTTATGGCTCTTTTCTGTAAAATGAAAATAAGATTTGTGATTGTTTTACATGTTTTACCTCAGAGTTCAATACAGTAAATCAAGTGTGGGACATTTATTGTATTATACAATATAAACAGAGCTTTATCATTAAATAACTCCCTTACTTTGTACTCCAACAGTAGAGGTTATTAAAAAAGTTAAACCAAGAGCTGGTTCTGCTTCGTGACAAGACTTGTTTCCGCAGCTCCCAACACTTCACACCAACGTCCGGTACATGTTCATAGTCACAGCGTGGCCAACACAACCTGTTATTTTCAGGTTTGGCAGCACAAAAAATACAAATAAATAAAACCCTGTATAACCTGACTTGACATGAAGGCAGAATCCAGCGTGTCACAGTTTGTTGTTGGTGGGGAAAGAAGAGGGAACGTGTAGTCAACAGGGACAGAAGTGACACAGGAAATCACACACCTGTTGGACCATCTCTGTCAGCATTCGGTGACACAGCAGGCGTGCAGGATTCACACCTGTCTGGATCACTCAACACAAAAAAACAGAGCAGGGTAATAAAAAAAAAAGGCAGCTCAGCTTTGAGGGAGATTCGTCATTTGATCTGAGCAGGAACAGCTTGACAAATGCTTCAGCGATTTGGCTTTTGTGCATTAGTGTCTAAGTGGACCGCCGACTGACCGTCTTTTATCTTTTTTCTTTCATTTTAGTCATGAGCTGAGGGATCTTGTGACATATCTGCCACTAGCTCATGTTTTTAGTTTTCTTTCTCCTTTGAGATAAGTCACTCTGTGCTCCGTTCAGGGCCAGACGTGGCCAATTTGGCACCCTGGGCAAGATTTCAGGCAGTGCCCCTTGTTTCAATTTACATATGTTCACCTACAAATGAAATAGTTTTGTCTTAGATTTTTTTTATCATTAGAAATCAGGTTCCCCAGTTAAATGGGACATATGCAAAATCCACTTTTTTAACCATTATACATTTTGTTGTGGAGGAATTCAGACCAAATCGTTGCAGTTCCACTTTATATTATATCAACTGAGTGATATAAATGTGAAAAAGGATTTAAAATAGTTAACAATATAATACATTTGAAAGAGAAGACCAGAATTTCTCTTCATGCCTGCCAACATCTGCTGAGAGCAATGAGAACACCTGGTCATGTTAGCAAGCAGCCGTGGAGTAAAGCAGTTCTAGGGTGGGTCTAGGGGTATGTTCCACTGGAATTTTGTAGAAGTTCTACTCAAAACGAGGCATTTTCCAGGCATTTGAAGAGCATTTTACAACATTACGCTTAATAAAAACAGGTTTTAACCTGAATTTTTTCTGAGATGATTACTGAACCTTTCATTATCCTTGTTTTGTTTTCTATTTACACACTGAAAAATGACACAAAATATCCTCTGCACCACCTGAATAAGCAATTATTCTACGGACTACATCAACCCAAATAAAAGTATTTTTTCATCCCCCACTTGTGGCGGCCCCTAGATGAACACCCCCCCTTAGCACTTTTACCAATTCCTCAAAGAGAGATCCTTGCTGCCGACACAAACAAACAAAAGAGGTGCTTTTCTTTAAGTTTTCTCAGTTCGGCTTCCAACTTCCAGTTGCTTTAACACTTCACTTGGCACCTGTGTCCGAAGAGCGACAGGGTTTCATTTATCTGAGCTCAGAACCTGCAACAACTCACCACACACAGGACCAGAAACAGCTGCACTCTGATGAATGCCCCATATTCTTTCCACAGGAAGCAGGTTCATGTGTCACTGCTGACGCAACCCTCCCATCCCGGGCGAGCCCCCTCTTCTTTCTGATTCTGCTCCCAGCTGGCCTCTCCAACAAACGCTCCTTTGATGCATCTTCCCGGGAGTCAGAGCCACGGTTGGCACCCTCCTTCCACTTCTCGCCCCTTTTTCTCACACCCCCACTTCCTGCAGGACATTAGGGTCACTTCCAGCCCCCCCGACTCATGAACCTCTACTCCCCACTGACCCATTCAGAGGCAGCTCCATCCTCCAGTGAGAGGGTAGGGAGAGGGGGTTGATGTTCCTGCAGAGCTGCCAGTCTGAGCCAGATGTCCTGTTTGAAAACCCTTTTTGTTTTTGATCAAATAAAAGGAAAGCTGGATTTAAATATAAAAAGATGAGGCGATGAAGTTAACGGCTCATCAGAAGGAACTGAGATTAAATTGTTTTGGTCAAACCAATGTGTGTGTTGTTGATTCATCTGAGTTGATGTCTGTAGGCCTGGCTGAGTTTTAGTTTAATGTCGAGTAGCTGAGGCCGCCATCTTGATTTGGGTTGAGTCCATCAGTTAATCAGCTGTAGTTTCAATTTCCACTGGTTTATGAATTATTTTGCTAATACAGCAGACAATAACAGGCAAAATCAAATCAAGTTTACAACTGAATTTATTTAATCAAACGTGTTTATATGGTATTGTCAGTAAAATTAATCAACACATTTGGTTTTAATGAGTTTTATTTTCAATGTTTGACTTTATGCAGAAACACCTCATATCCAGTACAGATTAAGACGTACACACCTTTAGTCACTCCGATGGGATTACGCTTGTTTTCCCTCTTCCGCTCTTGCAAACGTTTTATTTGGATAACACCAGCATTAGCAGATTTTCAGGCTCTCGTGAGTGTTTGTACTTTTGTTTTTGAAAGGCTGCCGTCTGCTTTTGACAGGATGCTATTTAGGTAACAAACCGTGAAGTCTCACAATTACAGATGCCAAGTAGGTGTCTGACAGCGACTTTAGTCCCATCATTTAAGGGCCACAAACCTCAATGATGCCAAGAGAAGATGATAAAGATTAAGACCAACCCTCTTTGTTTTAAACTTGATGTTAAAGTGACATGCATCTTTCTGCAATAAATGAGACAACCGTAATGTGCTTTTGTTACAAATGAGACATTTTCTTTTGATCTAGATTCATTAGAGGTTTGAAGGAATAATTACAAAGTTCAAAGAAAAGAATGTATGAAGTCATGTTACTCCCAGTTATTTTATGACAAATGTAAAAATTCAACTAAGTGACTGAGTTATTAAATCTGATGCAACGTGGTGACCTGAGCACCTCTTGGTCCCAGCTCAGTCTGAGCCCAGTTCCTGCATTCTAGTTGAGTCATGATGAGTTTCTTACTGATCATATTTAATGATGGTAAACAGATTGGTGCTGATGTTCTGTATAAACAGAATGTGGTTCTMTTGGTTTGGCCTGCAGCTTTTAGTGTCAGACCTGATGAGTTTTCTGCAGCCAGTAAAACATGACGACACATCGACTCCAGTCTTATGGAAAACAGCTGGTTGAAACTGAACCTGGTGCCACAGACCTGTGGGAGTCATGAAACGGGTGCAAAACCACAGATTGCAGAAATTAAGCATCAGTTGTTTGTGAATGTTAATTACAAGAACAGTTCTTTCATAAATGTAAACATTTTTTATATCAAAAGGTCCACTTTTAAAGTTTTGAGCTCTCTGTGAAAGTCTGGAACACACTTACCTCCAAAAGTCACCTCAAATCCAAAGAAAGGATTTCCCCCCGATAAAGAAAACAATCAGCAGTCCAGGCACAGCAGTCAGAAGGAAGCTTGAAAATATGGTTCTTTATTGCACACTTGACATTTTTTTTATCTTCTTGTTTTTWTTTRTMTTTTTTTTTTTTTTTTGGGTGTGAGCAACAAAAACTGGCATTACATGTTCAGAGTTCTAACCTTATATAAAACAAAACACAAGATAAAAGCTGCTTCACAAAAAATAAAACTGAAAATGTCACAATTTAAAAAAACCTCTTACAGATATTAGTGCACCACCTTTACAGTATAAATTTGGGGAGAAAAAAAATGTAGTTTTAACTGCATATTCACAGTCAGAGATAAAAACATAATGTTCGGGGGAAATACTTGTTCTTTTTGAAATCAGTTTTTACCATTAAATCACCTGAGTGCTGCATTGTTGAGACAATTACTGATTGGATACCCTGCGGTCTAAGTCAATGAAGGAATGTTTGTTAATTAGAAGGAAAATAAAAGTTAACAAGTGAGAAGTCAGTTAGTAGATGCACTGAACGCCCTGCCACTGATGTGGAGAAAAAAGCACCGAGAACGTCGGCAGCGGTACGCAAACAGCTGCATACCGTGGTCTAGTCATTAAAAGACAAAAAAATTAAAGTTCTCAGTGGATTAAATAATAAAATTAAAAGGTGGGTGACACCTGTGACCGTTTTSGTCAAACTCCTTCCAGTTTTAACTATGTACATAACCCTGAAACAAGCAAAAATGGCTTTTGGTTCTCGTTAACAATATTAAAAGTATAAAAAATGTAATTCTCAAAKCTCACAGACAAAAAAAGGCACTTTTTAAACATGCAGCTTTAACGCTTCCGACAGTTTTTGTGGTTTACTGTGCTTCAAATAGCTTCTTCTGAAACTTTTCACTCAAACAGGAGCGTCATCGTGTCTAACAAACTGAAGCTGAAAATGCTTGTTGCAGTTTAGAGAAGCCAAATATTCCCATCTAAGTCCACATTAAAAAAAACGTCTTGACAAAGTAAAAAAAATGTTGCTTTTATGTAATCCAATTTCTGCCTGTGCTTGCTGGTGAAAAAAAGCAGGTGTTGAAACAAAAAACATTCGTTTTCAGATCAAAGACAAAAAAAAAACTGAAATGTTAATTTGGAAGAGAGAGATGTTAGGTCTGATGTTAGATACTTAATTGTTGTTTTGTGCTTGGTGAGACATGAAAAGACTTGCAAAACTTTAGGCAAAGTGGTTTTTGTTTTGCTAAAGGAATATAAAAAGGATGGTGGAKACAACAACAAAAAAGAAACCAACCTGAAAGCACCACTCAGTGAGTTAAAGTAATGATCAGGATTAATAAAGTTAATCGTTTTGTTGCGTGTCAGTGTCAACGCCACGTATTAGTGGAAAGAGAGCAGCTGAATGAACCCGGGGATGAGTGCACCCGCTGTAGGAGAATGATCAGGCAGCACTGGCAACATCATAAAAACTCAGTGAAAAAAAAAAAAACAATAAGTAGTGGCGAGCTGAAAGCTGAAAAAAGCGTTTTACCTACAGTGGAAGGAAACGCTGAGGTTGTTTTGATCCCAAAAGCACTTTTTATTGACGCGGTGCACTGGTGAGTTTTAGATTCTCCCAAATGGTCCAGTGTTCGTTGTGACATCAATAAACTGAAAGGGAAGAAGTGCTCGCCCAACAGAAAACAGCTGGAGATAACCCTAACACTGCCACCCTGGCATAACAAGATACAGACGCAATAATAATAAAAAACGACAGCTTTAAACCGCCGTCTATAAATTTGCCCCGAGTGTCAGTTGTAAATAACTCCCTTTTTATAATGTGGCAATGAGATGTTCTGCTGTACAATTCACAGTAACATTAATCCTTCTGAGATGACTAATGTAGAGTATCTTCTGCACAGATTGAGATTAGTGCTACACTAGCTAATGGCAGGAGAAAGGCTTTTTGTGGTATAAATGGCAGTTTTATCTTCAGGGATTAGGCGCTCTGCTCCTAATCTCACTTTTGACCGGCGCACGTCTTYTTCGAGAAAGAACCACTGACCCAGAAGTGTAACCAGTGACCTCAAGCAAAGTGCAGCTTATATGCCCCGTGCCCGCACCCCTCCCCACCGCCTCACAGGGTTCAGACACACAGAGGAGGACGACTAACGAGCGTCGTCTCGCAGAGACATCGACAGAAGCGTCAGCAGAAAGTGTGAGAGTGAGGCGGACGCCCGACTTGTGCGCTTTGTTCCAGTTAGGTTGTGTGTTTTTGTGTGTATCGTAGACTCAGACGTGTGTCAGTCAGTGGAAGTCATGGGCCATACGCTGGTTTTAATCGTGTTAGTCCGTGAACCAGACCAAGGTAATACATTCATGAAACTGGTTAAAAACACAAGACAAAATATCAGCAAGTTAGTAAAATTCTTACTAAGAATGTTTTATTAAAATAAATGCCAAAGAGGTTAATAAGAAAAATAACAGCATACACCATGAAAACTAAACGCAAGCATGTAAAAATACTTGTGACAAGAAAACTAATAAAGTAGCTAATGAGTTAAACAAGCTGGGACTTGGCAAGAAAACAAAATATAACAGGGAAAAAGGCAACACTCCCCACGAGAGACAGTTCAAGATGGAGAAGAGGTCAGGAGGGGGAGGGGGAGGGCTGTTCGGGGG